AGTGGAGCCCCAGGCAGCTGAGATGGCTCTGCCTGCAAAGACAGGGTGTCCCCCCTTGTGGTGTGGCACGTCCTGGTGAGGGATAGAGCACACCCCTCACCCCACCCCACTCCAGCTGAGGGTTCCTGGAAACCAGTCAGAGGGAGGTGGCTGAGTGGGGCAAAGGGACAGGCTGAGTCAGCAGGGCCCTGAGCAGAGGAGCACCTGGCTGTCCCTCCAGAAGTGCAGGGGCCCCCCAGGAATGTTCCCGCATCTCCTTGGCCTCAGGGAGGCAGAGGGTGGGGCCTTTTTTGAGCCAGACACAAACCATTAGTAGGTGGATCTGGGGTGTGGAGACTGGGGCCTCAGGACTGAGGTGGAGAAAGCCGATGGAGAAAGGTGGAAGATTCCACCCGAGGGCGGGGGCCAGGTGTGGTGGCTGAGGGAAGGGGGTGCTTCCCTTGGAGGGGAGGAATGCTTTGAAGTGAGGTGAAGGGTAGGGGACTCTCAAGCTCCTCCTCCGCTGGTGAGAGGGGGCCCCAGTGTGGGTGAACGGACAGGAGCTGGCAGGGGACCTGCAGGCAGAAACCTGGAGTGCAATGAAGGCCTTTGGGACCCCCTGAAGATTTGGGGTCATCTCATCAGCCAAGCCTGTGTCCCTAGTGGGAAATTTGCAACACCTGATCCTGACCTGTTTTTACCTTGTTGAGTCAGGGAGGTGGCTGTGTACTCTCCTCCTGGATCCTTGTCTCTACCCAGCTCCACAAGCCTAGTAACTCGATAAGCACTTACAGAGCACCTTTGGGTACAAGCCTTGCCCTCGGCTTGGGGAGGGGTGGAGGTGTGAGGAAGTGGGCACTGTCATCGGGGGTGATGGCTAATGCTTGGGAGGCCAGGAGGAGCCAAGGTCAACTGGATAGACATGACATAACCTTCACTGTTACTGTGAATATGCATCTATTGAACCTATCAGCTATATATTAGACCCCCAGTTAATTCTTATCCTGGACCTTTCATCAACAGGAGCATGATTACAGTTCTAAGGGACTCTCTCCCCAACCCTCTGGCTGGGTCAAGCCCATGGCAGGACCTGTCCATGTCTCAGCCTGGACCCAGGGCCTGTAAGAGTAGTCAAACCTGAGGCTGGCATTGAGAGCAGGGCAGGATTCTGGGATTTTCCCAGCCATTCCTGGGCCTCTTCCTCACCTGCTTTGTTTCCATGTGTGTTCGCCTCCCAGTAGCCTCTGGGACTGAAGTAAAGGATCCACTGTTTGTATCTCTTCCTCCTCTTCCTTTCTTCTGTTAAGTGGGCCGAGCTGCTAACAGCTGCGGGGGCTGTGGGCCTGACGCTGTCCTTCAGGGCTGCCAGGGGCCTCTCCCTGCCGGGGGTGGAGGACAGGCCTGGGCAGGAAGAGTCACGGCCCAGAGGACCTCTGCGTGGCCCTCCACCAGATCCTGCCAGGCCCTCCTCTCCTGGCAAAGAGAGTGGGAGCTTCTGGAGGCCCTGATTCTGACGCCGCTTTGGCGCCTCAGTTTCCACATGGCACTGTGAACATCTGATGAGGACTGGCCCTTAGCTATGGAGAAGGAATGTCCAGGGTTTTTCCAGCCTGGTCCAGGATGAGAGGGAAAGGGAGGAGGAGCACAGGCTATGGCCTGAGGCCAGTTGCTAAGGTATTGTTGGGCCTACTGGTGGTGGTGGAAAGTGCAGCACTGGTCAGTTTGAAGGGAGGGAGATTAAGCAACTTCCTTCTTCAAGCTTGATCTCAAGACTGGGGGTTTAGGAGGTGGGGCTACCAGATAGGATGAGACTTGGGGTTCTTGGAGAGATCCTGAGAAGAAGGTGGGGTTGCCATGGCCTGTCCCTCCTTGCCAGGCTCCTGGCTCTGTTCCAAGTCTAGTGCTGGAAGCAGGGCAAGCTGTCCTTGGAACCCAGAGAGAGGCCTGAGTGGGCGACTTGGGCTGGCCTATAGCAGCAGACACCACCATGCTCCTGTGTAGAGCTCTGGGAGTGTGGTGTGGGGTCTTCACTGTGTGTCCTTCCATGCAAAGGTGACCAGCTCACTCAGGCATCCCCCAGGTTCCACTGGTTCCCTCCATTCGCTTCCTGCAAGACAGTTATGGCCTTCCTCATGGCAGGAAGTCCTTCCTGATGTCTGTGGTGAAGTAGCCCTGGTGATCTGACCTTGCTCTTTGACCTCCCCTTTTCAGAAACCCAGACCACGCAGGCTTCACAGGCCGGGTAGAGGGAGGGACATAAACTTGGGGCTCACCTTCTCACCCCCTGACTCACAGAGAATGTATATTGAGCCTCTCTTTGGCTCTCTCCAACTGGGGGGGGGACACCTCCCAGTGTGAGATCACCCTATTATTTCCAAGCAGGAAGTCCTTCCTGCAGGCTGCTCATCCCGGGATCACTGGGCCACGTGGAAAGCCCTCCTTGTCCCTGTGTGTGGCCCAGAGCCCAGGCCACCCACATGCCTCTGCCCGTGCTAGGCTCGCCTTCTCCTGCCCGGTCCCACGGGCCTGGTTACCCCTGAAAGCTCCGCATGGAGACAGGCCTGGTGCAGACGCCAGGGTCCTGGCAGCGCCTAAATCATTAGCGCCACCGAGATTAGGCTGGTAATCTCCTTGTTGGGCGTGCGAGCGGGTGTGAGCCGCCAGGATGTGGGTCGGGCTGTTCTCTCCCAGGGGTGGCCTCGGGTGGGGCCGGACAGAGGGGGGTTTCTGGCTGCATTCATCCTGCTTCTCCTTGCCCTTCCTTTGTGTCTCCTCTAGAGCCCCTCTGGAGGGACTTTCTTCAGACATGGAGGTGAGGTGGGGAATTAAGCAGAGCAGTCACCCCAACCCTTGATTCATCCTCTCCAGCTTCAAACCCATCCCTACCCCATGTTCACAGAATGTCTTTGATAATTTTTTCAGAGCTTGACTGATATCATTCTCTCTCCAGATTCCCTCTTGAGCCTTAAGAGATGGGAATTAACTCCTTTTCACTAAAGAGGAAAGTGAGATTTGGGAATTGACAGCCCCAGAAGACCTTGTATCAGGTTACACTTCCTCAGGTCAGGGCCCATGTTTATTCCCCTCGGACATGGGGAACCTCATCTCCCCACCCCACTTTAGACTTGAAATAATCTCAGGAGAGAGCTAATGTTGTTGTTGTTAATGTGCCATCGAGTCGTTTGCGACTCATAGCGACCCTATGTACAACAGCCCTAAACCCTGCTCTATCCTGTGCCAATTGCATTGCCTCTGACACACCCATCCCGATTATCCCAGTCACTGAATCAATCCATCTCATAGAGGGTCTTCCCTTCTTGCGCCATCCTTCCACCCTCCCAAGCATGATGTCCCTCTCCAAGGACCTGTCCCTCCTTGTAACATGCCCAAAGAATGTCAGACAAAGCCCCAGAATCCTTGCCTCCAAGGAGTAGCTTGGTTTAACCTTCTCGAGGATGAATCTGTTTGTTTTCTTGGCAGTCCATGGTACATTCAATACTCTTCTCCAGCACCACAGCTCAAAGGCATCAATTCTCCTTCTGTCCTCCCTAGTCACTGTCCAACTCTCTGATGCATAACAAGTGATTGTAAAGACCATGGCCTGTATCAGGCGCACCTTAGTCTCCAGAGAGACACCGTTGCTCTTGAGTACTTTAGAGAGGTCCCCAACAGCAGACTTTCCCATCGCAATACGTTTTTTGATTTCCTGGCTGCTGGTGCCAAGAGTGTTGACTGTGGAGCCGAGCAAACTGAAGCTGTGAACAATCTCAATCTCTTCTCCATCCATCTTGATGCTACCAATTGGTCCAGTGGTGAGAATCTTTGTCTTCTTGACATTGAGCCTCAGTCCATACTGAAGGCTGCAGTCCTTGACCCTCTGCAGCAAGTGCATGAGGTCTGACCCCTCCTCAAATACCTCCTATTCTTTCAGGATAGGAACTAAGTCTCTCCCTTCAGAGGGAGGCGGCCTCCTTAGCTCAAAAGCTAAATCTTCTGCCTCAGACTAGTGACTCTCTCAAATTGGAGGCTAACTCTCCTCCCTCAACCTGGGGACTCCCTCAGGGCATAGGAGGGATCTGAGGGTGCACCTAGCTGTCCTGTCCGAGCCCCAGGTCAGATTCTAAATCTTCCCCCTCTGAGAGTTTCCTCAAGACAAGAGGCCAAATCTTAGGTTCTCTCGAATCTGAGGCTAAAAAAGCTCCTAGGAGCTACCTCAGGTTCCAAGATTAAATATCGCTCCTCAGATTCAGGGGGCTTTCTTAGGTCAGAGGGTCCCGTCTCAGTTCTCTCCGTCCTCAGACTGGGGGTGCCCTCAGGTACATCTCTCCCCTCAGACAGGGCTGCTTTAGGGTCACAGTGTGTCCCCAGGGAGGATGCTGACCTGCATCTCCTACCGTCTCCCAGGGGCCCAGGAATGCTGGGTGGGGGCCAGGCAAGCCTCTAGGCTCCAGGCCTGTGGAGCCTTGTTCTGTGCCCTTCCTGGCTTCCCGGGCTGGGTTCTCCGGACTCCCCCCAAGAATGAGCTCAGCGGCCTAATTGGGGCTGAGGATGGAGGATCACCCTACCCTGAGGCTGCAGCTCCCAACACCACCTTTGTTTCTGAGCAGACAATGGGCCGCTAAGTGTCCACCAGGTCTAGGCCAGGCTGGGCATGGGAGGGGTCTGGGGGTGCACTCTGCATGTCAAGCCTGAGCCCCAGGCCCTGTGTGGCTGGTACATGGGCAAATTACATGGCTGGGGTTTTGGCTCTAACTTCAAGGGCAAGGGGCCCAGCCCCTCTGCAGCCTGGCTATAAAGGGCCATCTGGGGTCTCTGTCCGGACCAGACTCTGGAACTGTATCTTGGACATCATGACCGCCACCAGCAGCAGCATCCGCCAGTTCTCCACCTCAGGCTCCGTGAAAGGCCTATGTGTGCCAGGTGGGAGCTTCTCCCGGATGTCCTCAGTGCGTGTTGGTGGTGCCTGCCGGGCCCCCAGCCTCCTGGGAGCTGGCAGCTGTGGCAACATGTCGGTCACCTCATCCCGCTTCTCGGCGGGAATGGGGGGCGGCTACAGCAGCGGTTACACTTGCAACCTGGGCGGGGGTTTTGGGTCCAGCTTTGGCGTGGCTGATGCCCTACTGGGGGGCAGCGAGAAGGAGACCATGCAGAACCTCAACGACCGCCTGGCCTCCTACCTGGAGAAGGTGCGCGCCCTGGAGGAGGCCAATGCCGACCTGGAGGTGAAGATTCGAGACTGGTACAAGAAACAGGGCCCCGGGCCTGCCCGAGACTACAGCCAGTACTTCAAGATCATTGAAGACCTGCGGAGTAAGGTGTGAGAGCTCCCCGTCCTTTACCCTCTGCCCTCTGCCTTTAGTACCTGCTGACTCACCCCATGCCCGCTTTGCACTGGAGCAAACATCTCTCTCCATCCTAGACTTCTGTCATTTATTCATTCATTCACTCACTTGCTAAGTCCTTGGTGCCAAGCATGGCAGACGGCTGTGCAGAGAGGTTTGTTAAAGGTTCTCCATTTAGGTCACCAGAGCTCCCTAATCCAAAGGTAGGTGGTTCAAATCCACCAGCTGCTCTTCAGGAGAAAGTCTGACAATCTCCTCCTATGTGATTTACTGCCTCAGAAACTTGCCAGAGTCAACTATGGGCTGGTTCCAACTCCAGGGCACACAACAGTCTGATGGAAGAGAAAACACACACACACACACACATACACACACACACACACACACACACACACACACACACACACA